GGATCATGTGCTAACAACCAAAGGCAAGTGTACTCTTGTGACTCCGCGTGCCAGTCAGCAAGCTTGTGTTGATGCCAAAAGACTACCCGAGCCAAGGGAGGACCTGACCTTCTTCTGGCCCGATTTCCCCCCCCCCCCGTTCCAGGCCAGGTTTGCGGGTCCGGCTGTAGGCAACAGCTGCTCGCTCACCCCCTGCAACAGGTGGCCCGGAGGAAAGTTTAACGAGGGTCCAGACAGCAGGATTATCGATGCGAGGACAATCCCCATTTAATGGCTTTAGGGAGCCACCGACAAAGAAACAAGCTCTAACGCACATGCGGCCTGGATATGAGGTCTGGCCAAGGAGAGCGCTCCCAACCGCTTAGACCACTCCGGCCGGTCTTCAGAATACCACCTAAGAAGCTTAATGCTTCCTGTAATTTAAATGGGATTTCTGGCAGGATCCCTGCAGTTCAGTCTCCTCCCTTCGCCCTCACTCAATGTCCGCTGTCCCCACTATACCTCAACTTTGATGCGTAAACTACAGCAGGGCAGACTGGCTCGAGAACATTGAAGCAAAGCAAAGTGTACCCAAAGCAAACGCGGCCCTGAGATTAGGATTAGAGGTGCGACAAAGAGGAGACTAAGGACGGTCAGAGCGGGCCCTCGACAGTTTCGTTATACCGTTTGAGAAGCACCATGGTACACGGATATCGGGAATATTTGAATTAGCCTGTGGGAGCGACACCGGAGCCTTGCTTGGCCAGCACCGCTGGTGCCAACAGTTGGCGGTAGATGCCATTAATGTCGTCGTCTTTCCCAGATTCTCTGAGCAGTAAGGCAGCGTGCCATTGGAGTGCATAGCTCGCCGACTAATGTTATAGACTTTTGTTTCGGATGAAATCATGATTATTTGAAACTTTTTTTTATAGATTTCTTAGATTTCGTATTGTATCAGCGTTATATGTTTTGTGTGTTTTACGTCGCATCTAGGGATCCTAGCTCAGTTTATAAATGCTGGATTATGCGGCATTGGTCGATGCAACGATACCAGAACAAAGGCTGCATTAGCATTAGCGACTGCAAAATAAAAAGCAGCTGTGATTTCCCGAAACGTAACGCGTCTCGGTCTGACAAACTCCACGCAGCTGACAGACGGATCAAATGGCTTTGCTGCTGACAACACAAAAGCTTGTGTTTGAATGTCAAGTAGTCAATGCGGTTCGCAGCTCTAGGCCCGGACACTCCACAATAAAGTTCTGCAGTCAATTTTATGAGTCAGATCTGTTCCATACTCATTGTATTCAGTTCAAGGGTTGGTGACGTAATACGCGATGATCCCAACAACTGATCCACTCTGCTAGGGAATTAACTCGCGATTAAAGCTTTGAACACCCCAACTGCTGAAAATGCCGTAGGTGCAACACAGAGATATTACACACCCTGCTTGTATTCGTACCGGAGCTGGAAGTGGATGCACTTGAGATTTTCTTTTAATGGACACAACTCGATTGATCGCATAATTATAGAAGTGTATCTCTGCCAGGCAGGATTTAGTAATGGGGGCATAAAAACGACCAGAGATGCAAAAATAGACCTAAGATGACTACAAATCTGTGCCAGTTCCCCGGCTGACAGTCATCCGGTAGACTAACCCGTGAGACAAAAGCACAAGGGCACTTTCATCAAGATCGATACTTCCTCTCTTTGGCCACTCGGAGCTCAGCTCGGCCCTTTGGGGCCGATGCCTCCTTCAAATAGAACAAGCGAGTTCACCTTTAGCTCAAGAGAAGTTGGGCAACCGTCAAGGAAAATGTATGTCCCCATAAGCAGGTCATTGAAATTAAATTACAATATATTTTTATCATCCATACATATTTCTGGATCGGTATTCACTACTGGCCATCAGATAATTCTGAATCAAATGTTCCACATTCTAGATTTGTTAATTCTTAAAAGTGTGGAATTGTGGAAACTCACGAGAGAAAAGTCAACACAAATTTTGAGGAAGAAGAGCCATGTGGTCCAGGAACACAGAGGGGGGTCATGACACAAAGCCTGACATCCGCTTAGTGGATAAACAGGTTCTTTTATTGCTGGGGTTTAATCTCACACACACACACACACACACAGGTACAAACAAACATGCACACACATGCACACACACTCCCCAAACGGCCTCACAATAGCCAGCAGTTTACAAAACGACTTGCCTAATCAAGGTTGGGTCAGAAACAATAAAGCCTTGAAAAGAAGTAACTACAAAACATTTGTGCTTCCATTTACATAAAATCTCTGAGTGCTTGAGTCTCTGCTGTTGATGTGTTGAAAGGCTTCAAGCAAACGATGCCTACAGGACCATTTTAAAAAGGTCTTTACAGAAGGCGAGGCTAGAGAACTGGACGCAACATTATTTGTAGATTTGGGGTGATCATATGAACACTGTAGACTCTTTGTAGACAAATAACACTCACTATGTTGTTGACATAATCCACTTTTTTATTTCCATGATTGGACACGCGCGCAGGTATTTCATTGGTAACAGTTTTGACCGTCGGAACTTGTAATTTTGTCAAATAAATATAGCTGATTTACACAAATCGCATCCCTCTACCAACAAATTAATCTGCCTCTTCATTCAAGTCGGATCCACCCCACAAGGGATCTTGTGTTGACACAGAACACTTGTATTGTTGATTTAAAACTTGACTAAATGCCAGGGTTTACTTAAAGGGAAACCACTGATCTCACACATTAAAGTCTGTTTACAGGTCCCGGGCAGTGCTGTTGCACGTGTGAAATAGATCCGGTGAAGCAGTGTGAGGCTCCAGAGGGAGCAGCGTGACGTGTGAGGAGTTTGCGGTGGTGCAGCTTTGAAGAAGTGAGCTCACCGGGCCTCCATCTGAATTTTAGACCAATCGGTCGGCGGTCTCGTTGCACCGTGAGTAACGCAGGTGCCAGGTTTTTAACAAGGGAGAGCAACGTGTGGAGTAAAGAAGATCACATGGTTGCATCAAATGTAACCATCGCCGCCTCCGAGAAAGTTACCAGAGTGTAATAAACGGGTTCCTTCTTCAGAAAACAAAGCAGTGATGCAAGTCATAATTCGGTTGCTTAATTGCAGCACTGTGAGAATAGGCTCTAATATGCTAAATATATACACATGCTATTAAAATCTTCCTAAAACACCCTATTTTTGTTGATATTATTATGCAAAATAGTTATTTGTCATCAAAAAAAGATGATGTTAAAAAAACAAAAGACACATTGAAGCGAGCAAGAAAACACTTAAAACTGAAAGGCTGCAATAGCAAAGCGCGTCGTGACGATGCACTGTAGCACCACAGCTCCAATCCGCCCGTCCTCAGCTGTCAGTTGAAGGGGAACAGCGAAGAACTGAGAGCTCGCTTAACAAAGCCGTCTTGTGGAGAAGGTCAGAACCAGTGAAGGGGTTGAAACTCAGTAAAAAGCTGAAACGGCTGAATGGATGCATCATTGCACTCAAGGGGCGAAAGTCATCCACTTGATGTTTTGTCAAAAGGTTTTAGGATTTGGAACAGGAATAAAAACTAGAAGGCTTTTGTACCTTCAGAAATGACCAGGGATTTGTGAATGTCAGTGTAGCATGCATACATGTGTGTGTGTGTGTGTGTGTGTGCGCGCGTGTGTTATGGTTTGCATGCTTGTGTGTTCGAGATTCCAGGCCAGCCGGTAGACAATAAGCGGAAGTGTCTCCCATCCACGGCAGCGTTTAAAAATCGGTCCAACGCACCAAAGTGAGCGAGGTCTCTATGTCCTCACAATAAGGCCTTGTGTTCCCTGAGGGGGGGTCAGTGTCTCCGCAACAGCAATTTGGCACCTTCCACTGCGGCTCATCGCTAAATAGATCAAAAGCTCGCTGAGTTCGACTCTCAACCAAAACCTCACAAACCAACAATTACCGCTGAGATACGTTTAAAAAAAAAAAAAAAGTTGAATCCATAAACGTATTTGCTCACTACCACCGAAAAAGCAGGTTCCACTCCAGGCAGTGATGAAATGAATGAGACACAGTGCACAGCTCGGTGTCGCCCAAGCAGAGCCCATCAGCTTGAGCAGGTGTATGCATGCATGTACCAGTATGCATCTATGTATGGACTAGCCCTCTGCAAACAGGTTCTAATTAAGTAGGAGTTAAATGTAATATCTCCTCTCTGCACAAATCGTGCATTCGGATATCCCTTTAAGCTGCAAAACAAAAAGTGAAACACACAAAACCATCCGTCGTGATTCCATTCATCGGGGACAGAAGAAACTTTTCCACAGTAAAATCCGGAGGGAACTCGTTACATCGTCGCTTAGCAGAGACACACGAACACACACATCACAAAGGGAGCCGCTCATGTGGGAAATTCTATTTTTACCACGAGGCAGGGCGAGGCTCCACCATGGAGCACACAAAGTAGGGAAACTATAACAAGGGAGAGAGGGAGGGGAGGGGAGGCCTGTCAGGGAACAGAGCGGAAGTGTCCTTCCTCCTGATGCCCTGCAACACAAAGTGTCCTCTGTGCACTTACAGTGCGCCTGTAAACAGCAGAGCGACATGTCACGGTTCCCCTCGCCGTTACTGTGGGAATTCATTTGAACAAACATGCCTGCATTGATCAAAACTCAAAAGGTGATTTTATATACACATTAGTGTTTATTCATGGTGGGACTTTGGATGGGAGGGATCATTTTGGACGGACTGTAAACAACCCTTTAAGGTTAACTTGTTATCTATAATTTGGATTTAACCGATGATGACTTATCATTGAGGATGTAGTAAAAATCATAACGCAACTGTATAATGGCACAATAGAAGTCCAAGACAGGAAAACAATAGATCACGAGGGATGGTGCACAGGATGTTAGAGGTGACCCCCCCAACTCAAAAATACAGAAACATTTATGTAAAATATAATAAAAAGGACAGCCCAAGATATTCTAACGTAATCCTTATCATGGAGATAACAATCCACAGCTCCACCAAAGGTACTCACCTCCTCGAGGGCCGTCACTGTATTCCTGCAGTGGGACATCCTGGTGGTGAAATTGGAGGCGGTGGGCGATTTATAATCTTCATTCGTCTCTACCACAAACTCTGTAACTGTGATTTGGTCCGGCATGATTAATCCCTGTTCTGTCCCTTGCTTTTTGTAATTTCCTCTTTTCTTTTCTTTTTTTTTTAAACAAAAAAAAGTTCAGAGCAGCAGTAGCAGCGGTGAGCGTGTCTCTCGAGGTCCCCGCGGGTAGCAGAGCATCTCCGGGTCCAGCTCCTCACGCGGTCCGGTCGCAGCGGGGTCGCGCGCAGGTTCGAGGAGTTCCGCCGCTGACGCACCGCGCTCCAAGGTGTCGGTGATGGGGGGCCGGGAGGCCGGGGATAATCCTTCCCGGTTCTTCCCGCGCAGGTTCTCAGCCGGCGGTCGCTTGGTCAAAGAGGAAACGGAAGCTTCCCCTGACCAAAGTCTGTTATCCCGAAAGAGAAAAGGCTTCGGGCAGCGCGAGGGTTGGAGCAACTTCCTCCTCCTCGACCGGGTAAACAACAGCCAGGACGTTTCAATGGGAGCGCAAGACATTGACAAAGGTAGAGGAGGGGATTCAACGAACGCGGAACAGCCAATGAGGAACGGCCGCTAGTAAGTGAGAGCCAATCAGAGTGCGCAAAAGGCGTGGACTCATGCTGCCTTCAGGTGCTCCTCGTACACCCGTTCACTCTGTTTAGCTCATGAAAGTAACTCGTATGACTCGTTTCAATTTGGAAAACATAGCCAACATTATGAGTTAATACTAATAGTTCGCTGTGTGTCCGTTAACACTTGAACATGTCGGTTATCCTGTATCAGATTATAATACATAACATAATAAATGGTGATATTTAAATTTAAGGAAAACAGCTACCAGATTAAATTAGAGGATTCTAATTTAGTGTTTACATTTCTGTTAACCATGTTATTAATTTTAGGCATTCCTATGCACTTGATCAACTTTGAGTTGAGTGCAGATATTTTACAATACTGCCTGATTGCACGTAAACTGTTGATAGTCTTGTTGCAGTCCATATAAACATCTCACTGTTGTCCTTTGTCCATGTACATTTATTTAATCTAAAATCAGATTCCTACTGTGGAAAAATATGTGATTTGATTTTTGTTTGATCTTCTTAGCAGTAGGATGTAGGATGCGTTTCTCAGGAGTAAATAACACAGTTATTGTCTGTCGACGGTAAAACAAATGGTGTAAATGTCCGTATTACTATGTGCGTCCAAAGCCCTTTTGGAGCTTGTATTTGAGGCTTGCTATTGTGACTAAAAAATAAAAAACTCACATAAGTGTGTGACAAATCTTTCAAATCTATTGTGCAATTATTTTTGGTGCATGCTTGACCTATAATCTAAATATATCCTACGGTACTTAAAAGCATCATTTTCATACGGCACATTTTTCCTAGAGGCAGGAGAAGCAGCTGAAAGTGATGCAGTGTCTTAAGGGAAGCGTGTGTTTCTGTGCAAATACTATATGTGTAAGGTATGTGTAAGTCGCTTTGGATAAAAGAGTTAGCTAAATGACATGTAATGTAATGTAATGTATGTTCTCTTTCTGTTGTGTTCCGTGTGCAAGGCACAAATATGGTTTGATCTGTAATACCATCTTCAATAAGATAATTAACTGTCTCTCCTGGGTTTATTATTAATTCAATGGAAATAACACGAAACAGAACAGAGGCCATAACAACACAGGCGTAATATGCTGCCTAATCATGTTGCATAAACTGCTGCACAATACTGTAAATAATTTGCAGGAATCTGTGGGTCAACAGAGTTGTGTCTTCTGATTGCTTCACACCTCATTCAGCCCGGTATAAATAGTATCACAGCGGCCGAGGCGGAACCCTGCGCAGCCTTTAAATCAAAGACATGGCAGTGTTCACACATTCTTTCAGCCCTGCAGCGTATCCTGGCAAAAAGCTAAATGAAGAGTCCGAGACCCAGGATGACCCTGACTGGCAGTAGGCCTCAACTCCCTTATGAAATGATTCCACACATCTGCTATCCAGAGACAGAGCGGCTCAGTCAGGGAGGGTCAGCACAATCAAATCGTTCTCTTCACCACTCATATTTCCAGTAACATCTGCCTTTCTACATGCATGCGCTTTCCTTTAAATCAGGACCGAACCAGCCTAAACTGTCAGTTCTGCACCGGTTGTGCGTTCTGTTGCTGAAGAGAAGCACTGGACTCCATGGAGAACAGGCTTATCCAGTAATTACATGGTAGCGTATATGAATAGCACATTGTTTAATATTTTATGGAACCTCAAAAAGCACAACCATGCATTTAGATGAACAATCATGAAAATGTAGCTCAAGGAAACATTGTTGAAATGTACCGCGACATCTAAGTTTTGCATAAATAACCAATCCTCTACTTTTATTGTATCGTATAATCACCACGCCTCATAAACTTTTGATTCTCAAATTTGACAACCAAGCTGTGTTTGCTGCAGATGAGATCCAAAAGCTGGAGCTTTTATGTGAGTTATTAAACGGAACATAAGTCTTATTCACCAGCAGCAACCAAAATAGACTGTTTGCACACAAACAACTTACAAACTTGAGAAACAAGTCAGAGTGATGGATTTGATGGATTTGCTGTGGTCACGGCTAATTTGTCATTTAATGAGAAACCAAACTGAAAGTGTTCATTTTATACACTGCTTTGGTGCACAATGAGCTCTTTTCACTTTCCCTTCCTTTCAAACTAAAAGTTAAAAAACAAATTCCACCAGACAGCTGCAGAAAGAACAATAACTGAAGCAAGATGTCATACTGTCACAGACAGAGACCCTCTTTGAAGTTGCTTACAATGTGTTTTGAGGCATTCACCAGAACAGAGCAACGAGTGTGTTAGTACACAAACAGCTATGTTCCTGTTAGCAGGAACAGGCATCAATAAAGCAGGCCAGATGTTCGAGCGGGAGTCACTTTTTCCTAATTGCGCTGCCATGACGCCATGATTGTGTAACAGGTGGGACAGCCTCCCAATCCCGCCTCTTACATTTCAAAAAAGTGGAATGAATGACTGCTTTGTTGAAAATAAGGAGCATCTAATGGTAACCATTCTGCAGCTCCACCTTTCCGACGTACAGGTGGATGAAATGGAGGATCCTGCTTCTAAAGCACACGTCCACCACTCAAACATCCGAGTCCGAGCTTCGCACAGATCTGAAATCAGGTCACTAACCCAACGGCACTCTGTTGAAGAGCTCGGCTGAGCGTCAGCGGCACGCTGAGGGACTCACGGGAGACGGGTGAGGAGAAGAGGGGAGGGGCAAAGGTACCAGGGGAGGGATGGGAGAGATGGGACAGTGAACTTAGTTACGAAGCTCAGTCTTTTCTCTCAAACTCTGGGACGAACTCGAGTTCAGGCCAAACTATAGGACATGTATTTGAATGACAGAATCTGATACAGAATTGAGTTTGCAATCATCACTGAGAGTCGAGTGTTTGCAGCATTTATTCCTGAACCATGTGTTGACGTATAGCAACCACTGTCCCGATGGCCTGAAATGGAAGAACAACGTTTTTGCTGATACTTTCGTGAGTTTTCCTCCAAACAAATAAACGTCTGCCGGCATCAAATATAGACCTGGAAATACCACATATCTGTCCAGAATGGTGGAACTCAGAGTTAGAGGTGCTTCTCACATTGAGCATTAAGTTTGCTTATTAGTAACGTGGCTTTACCTCCACTGTGTGGTATGTAAAAGAACATTATATATACTTTTCCACATGTAGTTACTACTATTCACTGTATACTGTAGTAATTCAACAGTAGTGGTACATCTTAAGTTATTCACTAAAAGAGTCATACGTTTCTTTCACGCAAGGTGAAACCATCCATATTATCAAACGTCGGCATTGGATGCAGTTACAGAACGTTCAATCAACAATGGAAATTCAATTAGCTGGTGGCGATTAGAAGTTATTCCGTGCTGTTTAGCTGACTGTGACATATGACCAGTACACTGCAAAGTATGATTGGTTGTCTTTATTTTGTCCTTACTGAATAGCAAACTTAGAAGGTCATTTAAGTCATTGCGAAAACCAACAAAACTATCATTAGTGCGACATTACACAAAGGGCCGGGTTCTTCTAATAATAAAATCCCAACATGATTACATCATCCATGCTCACAGCTTTCATTTAACCTTCTACCCCTGAAGGACACACTAAAGAATAAATTCATGTGAAATAATTGCAGGACATTTACACCAGCCCCCATCACACACACTCCCATATGAGTGATGGTCTTTAAGAGCTGAGGGTCTGCAGCTGCTTCACCGTCGCCATTAGGAGCAAGTGGCTTTTACAGTAATTATTGCTCCTCTCAGGATTTGGCACCATGAGCCCAAACATGTTGAGTGTCCCTGCACTTCATTATACTCTGACTCGCCGCGTGTGAACCTTCCCCGTCTTCGCTTGGTTTTCCACTTTACAAAAACACACTTCTTCAAGCATTTCACATCTCATGTATCCTCTAAAAGAATTCCCCACACTGCAGGGCCGGATGCATTTTGCCTGTAATGAGCTCTCGTTTTCTCCTAAGAAAAAGGTGACAAGCTGGGATTGAATCCGCCCCTCTGCAGCGACCTGAATCCAAATCAGCTCCATTGACAGTCCTGCAAACCCCCCCGCAGGGGGGTGAAAGAGTACCATTGGATTCTTCTCCGTTTTGCCTCAATTAGACAAACTTCAAGTACAACCGGTGTGGCGTGATCTGTGGGTATCCTGTTGGGAGCGTCAATGCGGGGGCAGCGAGTTCTGTCCGTGTAACTCAATTAAAGCGTCCGTTCCTCCCACACTGAACCCTGCAGACGGACTGTGAGCAGAGTGGAGCTTTCGCGTCCATCTGGTTCATCCATCTTCCTGACTGCATCGAATTTTGGCCGTTTGAAGAGCTAATGGTGGAAAATCAGAACTGCGGCGTTACATCAGATGAGGAGAACGCGTAGAGTCTGTCGTGGGTATCGTGCTGAAATGGAAGCACACCCTTTTTTTCTGGTACTGATCAATACGCAAGCCACATCTATAAAATATCCATGATGGATGACGTAATTAGGTCCATTAGGGCAGCCCAAAGATTAATATGTGACTGTCTTTCTATACGTCATAGCCTGCGTCTACTGACCGACCAAACAAAAAGACACTTCTTGTTGGATCCGGAAAGAGAAAGGCTGCACTTCCCTGGAGGAAGAGGAAGCCTGAGTGCAAAACATGAACTATTGACTGGAGTTTACGGACCTTGTCACCACAATAAAGATCAGCCACACAGCTAAGATTATAAACTTTTTTTGGAAAGGAAAAACCCCCACAAGGAACACAAGGGAAATGCAAAGCCTTGGGAGCTGCCGGGCCTTCATTATGAACGAGTGGGAACCTCCGGCAGCTCATCCGCTCACTGGCACGCCGCTGCGGCCTTTTAAATAGATTAGCAGAGGCTTTGTCTCGCCCCGCGCATTCTCACCGTCCCCTTCCTCTCCGAGCTCTTTCGGTGAAGAATCAGTCTGTGAGGGAGGCTGTGAGGAAGGGGATGGGGCGGCCATGGCAACGGCAACTCAACAAAGTGTCTCTCTCAGTGATCGTGGGTTTAATTGGATACCCTAGGGGAAGAACAAAAACAAGGTTGAGTGGAGTGAAATGAATGTAATGAGGCTGTGAGCTGACTTACTGTCATACTCTTTTTCTCTTTGTGTAGTTATGAATGATCAATGAAGATTATATAAGAGCAGTAGTACATGAGGGGCATGCTGATTGTTTCAGAGAGCGTCGAGCGATGTAGTCCATTGAGGAAAAGAGAAGGGGCCGCTTTGCATAAATAAGCTCTTATAACTATCTACATATAATTAGAAATGGAACCTTTGACATTTCATGGTCTGGTTGGACCATTGTACATGTTTCCTCACACGCAGACACACAAGCATAGCCCACACATGCAAAATGCACCAAGCCATTCTTCTACATACTGTCGAAATGACTGCAATTCAAAATCAGGTTCCCTTGGATGTATTTGCGTCACAGCACAATATAGACGGTTTCGACACAGACTTGTTCATGTTGGTGTGATGCACATTTACAAGCTGTATTACCAGCGACACTTGAAGCACTGACATGTATCTTTTGAGACAATAAACAAATAGTAGTAAAGTAAAAATAGGACACTGCTGGAGAGGCAGTGCTCAGGCATTAATTGGTTAGTTTGCTTACGTGTCTAGTGATGCCTTGTTATGGAAACTTTTTATCATTGGGTATTGTTTTTTTAATTTGAATATTATTAGAGTATTAATAGGAGCACTTTAAAAAGCTTTGTTTCACAAATATGATCAAGCAGAAAAATATTGCAACCACCAAACAAGGCCGTGGTAAATTAGCTCTAGCTGGTTTCGCAATCTTTGCATCTTTAAGGAAAACCCCTGAGAGAAAACATAACGCTCGTAAAACCATCTGTACAAGTCGGTCACGTGATACATTGTATAGTAAAACTTGCACCGAGTGCACAAATATGAAGTTTGCTGTAGTGCACATCTTGTCATTCCTGCCCAGTTCTGCTCAAAATCTAAACAATTGCCCAACAATTAATTCAAAAAGTAATTTAATGTAATTATACCATTTTTTTTAAACTCTTGAGCCTTTAATGTCATGCCTCAGTGTGGCTCATTTGATGAACAAGGTAGTTCTGGTTCTCTTTTCCCTTCTTTCTCCCCCAGTTCAGACACTGATAACTGCCACATGTCCATCAGGGTCACCTGATTGTCTCTTTTGTTTGGGAATCTAACTAGAAGACTGTAGACATCTTTTCCATCCAACCTGATTTAACTTTCCCGTCAAATATTGTGCCATGCTTCTTTTCTCTACTTGGCGTCCTCATCACACTGAGCAAGGTCTGGTGTTTGGAATGGTTCATGTTCACTTAATATTGTTACTGTGAGACATTTTTTAGAAATAATATAAAGAAAAGACGTCAGCCTTACTGGAGGGCCTGCTGCCGACCACAACAAAGATGAGTGAGATGCAGAATTGGCTCTCTGCTTACCGAGCACTGTACATGTTTTGATGTTGAAAGATCATTTAATTTGCATCAAAATCCTCCCAAACCATGCGTCCCTATAGAGGATCCATCTCTATTCAGAGCTCTTTTTAAAGTATTTAATGATTTGCTAATAATGAACACATACAAGCAGCACCTTGGTATTGTAAACCTTTGTCTTGTATTTTACACACTTGACAAAAAGGGAAGTTCATGAATTAACACACCTGGCAACTTGCACTGGGATGCGTCTTCATAGATGTGCGAGTGATGCCCTCTATTGGCTACTGTGCCTTCCTGCAAACGTTCTTAAAATCTAAATTCATATTATTTCACTGAGGAAATATTACATTGCAAACTTCAGAGGTGTAGTGTACATTTTATGGTTAAGAAACGCATCATAGTACAAGTTTAAACCTACAAAATATATCGTTTGTTCTGTGTGGGCGATGCTTTAAACCACCAGGTGGTGGTGATAGACGGTGACGAATAAAAGGCTGCATCGTAACAAACTTCTACAGATTGTTGCGTAACAATTCAGGCAACAAGTAACTGTGATTGATCCCAATAGTTGGATTTTCACAACCAAAATGTGGCGCTCACTTTGAACTATCTTTGCAGCAACTTCATTGTAATATTTCACCCTAAATCAACTATTAAATGGACATTTGATTTTTTACAGCCACAAAATACCGACACAAAAATCTAATCTGAGAGTATTTAAACACCTTCATGGTGGAGTTGAATCAACAACATGGAGGCAAAGGTGATAACTTGTCTACATTCTTATTTTGTTTATTTTGTGTTTTGTCTCCTATGACATTCAAACAAAAAGCCTCATCCAGGTTTTAAATCTACGCTCACACTGTTACAAAGAGCTCTTGGTTCCCTTTATTTATTGCAGCTGCAACAGCCGCGCGCGTACAAGAACCGCGGTCCACTTTGAACCCAACAACCCCCACTGCTCTCATTGTAATCGCTCCCCGGTGCCAAATGGCCCCCTTACATCACACATTTCTGCCTCATGTGTGGAATGCTGTAAATGTGCGGCGGGTGGGGCAATGGCAGCAGCCGGTTCAGTTTGCGTAAATTCAATTTGCTTTGAAGACTGTAAATCAAGAGCACGTTTCCATTTACATAGTGGGATTGGCTGATGGATTCCCCTTTTTCTTACGATAGGTCAAAATGTGTAGTCGTATGCTAAGGGGAAGGCTGCTCCGCCATGCTCTCCACCCACATTATCACCGCTTTCATCGCTGTCAAAGAGCCCCTGCTACATCAAGATGGTTCCCATCCTACAGGACATCGACCGTTGTTTCATTCGAAGGGTCGCGTCACGTTACATGTGAAACGCCGATGCGTGAACACAGAAGACGTTTGCAACAATGCTATTTTCAGTTTTCAGTGTACTATAAATATACCACTCAAGCTAGCAACAGAAACGCCCGTTAAAATATCTAGTCATCCTTTAAAACGATAATAATTAATTTTTTTTCTTCTTCAAAAATGTAGGCAGGTAACCCTTACACGTTCCGTCTCGTGCCAATTTAAATACAAACACCACGCTTTTTACTAAAACACACAAAAAAACAAGAGAGGCCCTGTTAACAACGTGATATAATGCCCAAAGTAACGTTAGACGGGAGAGAAAGTGGTCGACGGGGCACTATCTCGTCGTGGCTTCGTACTCTTTGTTTGGATGTCCGCTGTGGATGACAACCATCCAGCCCTCCGCAGCAACAGCAGCAGCAGCGGCATCAGTGAATTTATCATCGCGAACGCCGAGGGGAGTGAAGTGAACCGGCGGAAGGAGCGAAAGAGAGAGAGAGGATTTACGGACCAAGCATGGCTACCCAAACGACTGCATCATGCACTGGATCCACTCTGTTGCAGCCCATCAGCGAAATAATCAATCTCCCCGTTGACCAGGTACGTTTAAAAAAAAAGAAAATACGGATACGCGACCCTTCTCGTTGTATTTTGCATTTTTACACAGCACATCCGTTGTAGCCGGCCAGGCTCATTGGCACTACGGTTAGCGGAGGCTAACGATGCGCAGCGCTATTCTCAACCAAACCCAGTTAGCATAGCCTTCACACGGCGCGGATTGACCCGCGTGAGTGTTTCCACCACTGACCCCTGCGCCATCCCCAAATACCAAGCTACACCGCAGCTAGAGCCTTTTGTCTCTCCCTCATCGATGCTCGGAGCCTAATCCAGTGGTTCTCAATATGGTGTCCGACACCTTTCCCCCCCGGAGCCCTTCGATCTGCTTTAGATGCGAGTTAACCGGTTTAATTTCTCATTCACTTGAAGTTATCGCTGGAAGTAACGCTAGGCCGCAATGACCAGTGTTGTCCTCATTGTTAGTTTTTTTTGTGTGTTGTTATGTAAAATAATCCAGAGCCAGAGGAGGACGGCACACTTTACGTCTTTTCTTCATACGCAACCGCTGGAGGTGAGATTCGTTACGGGAATAAATTAGCTAGTGGCAGTTTTGCTGAAGCGCGAATTCATTGCGATGCGTGTGCAGAAGTTGCAAATGCACGAACACTTTTTTTTCCTTGTTTTTCACACGCACAGACGGCGCACCCAACACCCCCCTGCACGTGCATGTATCTAAAGAGCATTTCCATATGAACCATCTCACGGGTGAGCAGAGCCTGTGGTGGGGCGGGGAGGCGTGCAGGCGTGTCAGCCGGGGTCACGGCTGGTTGCACGCATATACGACTTGTCTGAGGAAAGGTAGAAATACCCCCCCCCCCCACGTTAACAATAGTGATTTACTTTCGTTAGTATGCTGGAATAGTAAATGCCCATTCATTAATTGTCCTGATACCTACTAACAGATGTGTCTATTGCACTGAAAGTATGGAACTTTTTCCTCCCAGTACCAGTTCTTTTGCCAAATTGCCAAAATATGTAGGAGTAACAATTTATTGTTATCCAATCTATATTTCTGTTTGTTTTTCTCCCCGTGTCATCAGTTGCAGAATCACGTTGTTTCGTATCTTTATGTGCATCTTTATTTCTTTATCAGCATTAGGTCACATACGGATGGGCCTATTTCCTTCTCCTTCAAATACTCGTGGTACAGAGCTGAGATTAGAGGTGTGTGTGTGTGCGTGTGTGTGTGTGTGTGTGTGTGGCGTCCTCGACTTCTTTAGCAAAAGTTTGCATGTGAAACAATTTTTAAAAACATTTTTCAACATGCAGAGTTCCCAATCTCGGATTAGGGAATTCGGCCAATGAACTCATTTGTGAGGCCACTATGTGCAAAGTGACTGACCCCCGCGCCCCCTAACAGCAAACTTCAGCGACCGCCTTTCATCTTTCCGTCCTATCTGGACCGGGATGGATTACTGTATCTCCCACGAAGCGCTCGGCCATGTGTCAGGAATGTTGCTCGGCCAACCCGAACTCTTTTTGTGTTGGTGCGCTCTGCTCTCTCTTCAGAGACGCGTTCTCTAAACTCAGCCAGGCGATCGAGTGATTCCACCGCCTCTAATAAGTGGACAGTGAACCAGGAGTATTATTATTAGAACGACCGACTAATGATGTTATGTTTGTCACTCTAAAAGGAAACACGGTGCGTTTCAATGAAGCTGCAGAATCTAGATCACTTGCTTTTGCCACAAATACCAGTCGACAACAACAGCTCTTAGTTCTCCGGCGCATAAGACGTGTGGACACTCTGCATACCCGTTGCCGTGGTTTCATAGCGCCGCAGCTGGAAGGAGTCGAGCCACCGTGTCTCGTCTTTTGAGACATTCGTGTTGACGTTTTTCTCCTCGCTGTGCTTACGGTTGTTTTAAATGAACACTGGCTGAGTGAGGGGCGGCCCGAATGGGACGTGCAGTGGAACCAGGGTCACACCGCTTTGCTGCACAGGTGTGTGTGTGTGTGTCCCATACCCCATCCCCTACTTTTGACAATGCAGCTTGTTAGCTTCCTGCCAACTGGACGCTCCGCCGTGCCGGATCGATGCGGTCCCTCTGATGCTGGGTTGGGGTTTAGGGTCGATCCGAGTGTCCCGCGGACATGGATCTTCGTGGAGCTTTGCGGTGCCGCACGCCAGTCCTGGGTTTCTCGTGGGAGATGCAGGCCTATAATGGGAGTTGGCCCGCGCGTCGCCCTGTGTCAGGCCTATAATGGGAGTTGTGAAATTTGAACCGACACCCTGCTTTGCCTCCTCTTCTTCTTCTTTCTCTGTCTCGCTCTTATCACACCCAGCCTGTCTCCTTTCAGTAGCATGCTGTTACTACTTTGACTGAAAACCCCACCCCGGTTCAGGAGTTCTTGTAGGAAACATGGCTCAGGTTACACATTGTGCTCCGCGCGGGATTTGGTTTATGTACGAAGCTCTTTTCATCCGCTTGTCATAAACCTCGCGGAGGGAAAGGCCACGTGCGGAGCCTCGAAGACGTCCACCTGACTGCGGTCAATCGGAGATGTTCTCCACACGCATTGCATCCGGCTTAAACACCCACTTGTTCGGCTTCCGTTGCAGACTCTCCACCGGCCAAATGAGACCTTTCTCAGGTGTTGTACACCGAGCGCTGTTCTTTAACCACATGTGCTGGGCCGTTGGTACTGATCTCGATCCTCTCATGCAAAGCGTGGTATCATGAGATACTGCCAGAACTGAGCAGATCTGCCTTTCGGATTAGCCATTTCCAGGCGAAGCTTATGACTGAACCGGGTCCAATTTCTTGGGTGGAACATTTACTGTCAGTGCCGATGATGCGTGTTAATATCCAAACATTATTTCTATGACAGAAAACCATTAAGGGTCATATTACCCAACAATGCTTCTGAAACATGATTACCTTATTTAATGATTGGAAACTGATTAGTAAAATAGTTAAGCAACGTTTTTTTTTTCTCCTCCTCAACTGAAACATTAACATTTTAGCTATTCAATAATTATTGATCTCGAAAGCGTAATTTCCTGTGGGGAAGGGACTCTTGTAACTCATTTGTGGCAGCCGCTGTGAAGTCCTGCCACAGCTGCATCTGTGTCAATAAGCAGCAGCTGGGCTGCCGTCGAATGTCACCACTGGCTCTTGGACACGCACACAACGCGCCCCAACAACTGGCCGTTTGTTCGCGCCGCTCCTCGTTGTCTTTGAGCGACTGTTACGGGCCCCCCTTTTCTCTTTGTCGACGGGGACGTATACTGCATCTTTTGTCGAACGTATTGAACGCTTCAGATAAAGGTGGCCTGACCCGAAGAGGTTTACTGAGGCCGACCCTGCTGCGAGGCGAGTAGGGCTCTGACGTGGCGGCGGGGAAATATCCGTCGGCACCGCGTGGTTGGCTGGACCGATGAGCTGGCGTCAATGATGGAATTTAACCACGAAATGTCATGTTTCTCGGTTGCCGGGGTCCTTTTTTTTTGTCTTTGACATATGAACGGTCCATCTTTACCATTGGGACCAGTAGAGACTTTTGGATGGTGTCATTTATTAACCGTCGGCAATCACTATCAAAACATTGGACGCACTTTTACCTCTCGACCCGGAGAAATTGTGTCCCGTGGTCGGAAGAGGCTTTGCCGTACCATCGGCCTTCTGTTCATGTGCCACGTTGGAGCGCCGTTTGTCGCTGTCGCCGGCCACGTCTTTTATCACCACAACAACCCCCCTTTTGTTGCTGCTGCTGCTGCTTTTTCCGCCCGGGCCCCATTGTGCTCCCGGCCCCCCGAGCCCGAGGGTTTCACGCCAAGCTGTCCCTTTTTTTTTATCCGTCTCACACAGCGACTGGCGAGGCTTTAAATAAAAAATCACATCGCGATACCTCCGGATAAGAGATGTCAGTCATGTTCTTGCTGATGTTAACATTTGAGGTTTTTGGAGGGGGTAGGGGGGGGCTTTGTCTGGAGAATGCCAACATGGTGTCCCTCTGAGGGCCCCCCCCCGCTGCTGGCGGAGTCCCCAAAGCCCCTGGGATACTTTTTAAGCCCTCGGGTCTTGTGAGAGTTTCTCCTTCCTTCCCTTTTGTCTTTAATTGTCTCTCCCGGGGGGTGTTATGCCTCCAATTGATTTCTTTCCCCTCAGCTCTCTCTAATGGAGCGCCGCTGGCTGCCGACATTATTACAGAACAAAATACAGACAAGCTTGTGTGTTTTTCTCCTGGGGAATATGGGAAGGCCTCGCTGTGTTGGGAACATCCCTGGGTGGTCGGAGACAGGCAGCAAAGTCATGGTTCCAAACAGTTCCTTAAAAAGGTGGCTCAGACTTTATGATCATGTGTTTCATAAGGCGTGTGTGTGTGTGTGTGTGTGTGTGAGACATCTAATCCAGGGGGAGAGAAGGCTTGATCCTGGAGGAAGAGTTACTAATGCTGTAAGAAGGTCAAAACACATCACATCATTTGTAGAGCCCAATATCGCAAATTGGCCTCAGGGGATTTTGACAATCTGGACAACATCCTCTGTCCGTCCGCTCATCCAGCACAAATAGCATAATAATAATGAACCCACGGTAAAGATAAATGGTCTGTATTGAGTGAATATATTAAAGCACGATGGTGACTGCCTGTTTATTTGCTTCCTACCCTGCGGTCGATATAGACATCGTAGTATCTGTCAACACCTGGGAAGTGCTCGGCGTTGCCTCAGAAGTGGACACATGATTCCGTTTACTAACTCATCTGTTCCGTTGCTAACGAGTTCTGAGGGGGGATTTGTTCCTGCCCTCTCGGCTTAGAGGAGCAGTTTATAGTGTCGCACGGCGTAAAGTCGCCACAGAGAAGGTATCCGCTTCAGATTACAAGTCAAGTTTTAGATTTAAAATCAACTCTTAACGTGGCAGCCCGGCTTCGATGACCCGCCGATGGGTTTGATGGGGCCGTTCCCACTCGTTTTCATGTATTTCTTACTTTGTAGTTGTGAAGCTTTTGACAGAAATGTGTTTATTCCCAGGCCC